GGGATTGGCTAAATTGAAGTTGAAGCCTGTTTGTGTTGAGCGAACCCTAGGTTAGAGTGGCATCTAAGGAAGAGCTTATTGGACTATAGTAATTATTTCTCTTATGACTTGTCCAAAAAAATATAAGGAATGGAAAAAATGCCAAACTCATGTAACATTGTTCAAATTGCAGCCGGTTATATGAGCTACCAGATCCAAGGTAAAAGATAAGATTGTAAGTTGTACATAGTATTGGGGACGTCGTTAAAACAAAGCTATTTTCAAAAAGATTAAAAAAACACTTAACGCCAAATCATGCTTTTTCGGACTTCTTCCGCTTCTTCTCCTCCTTGTCCTTGTGGGACTTCTTGGACTTCTTCCGGCTCAGGCTATCATCCTCCTCCTTTTCTTGTGAGTGCTTCTTTGACTTCTTCCGAGGAAGCGCAGCCGCTTGGGGAGTTTCGTCCTCAGCCTCATCGTGATCAAGCTTCCTCTTCCGTTCCTCTCCCTTGGGAACCTTGAACGAAGGTGCCTCGGCCTCGGATTCCGAGCTAGACCCAAGAGTCTCTGGGGGTGCACTGGTTGTCCCGACAGGCCGGAAGCGCATCTTCAAGTTCTTCGGCTGCGGCCGAGCTGGCTTGACATATTTGCGCATTTCTTCCACTACAGCATCGGTGTTTTTCGATGTGCTCGGGAGACCGATCATTTCTTGAACGTGGTAACTTGGGATGCTTTGGGCTGCTGTGCAATATGTTTGTGTCTTCTCGTCGAAAAGAAGTAGCGATTTAGTGGCGGGATCGGCCTCGGAAAGAGCCTCGACTGGGATACCATAGTTCACACCGTCATGAGAGATGATCGGCTCACCCTGCATGATCTTGGCCATGCACACCTCTTTGATCTGGGACAAAGGTAGAGAGGCTGGCGCTGTGAGGTGAAGGACTTGTTTGCCGTTGAGGTTGGAGAGAAGGGAGGATGCTTTGGAGGATGGTGGGGCCTGCTTCTTTGCGGACTTGAAGCCTGCTGGTGGTTTGTATGGCTGAGGACCGGAGATTACGACCCTACGGGCGCATGGATTAGTTACCGTCAGAGCTGGTAGTGCGATAATCACTTACTTCTTGCCTGAGCTGGAGCTGGGCTTCATTTCGCTCGAATCGTCGGAGTTGCTATCCGAGTCTGAACCCGAGTCCGAGGTTTCATCTTCACTTGATTCCTGTGTCTTCAAGTGCTGGGTCATTTTTTTCTCCTTTTCAGTCGTAAGCTCGGGCGAGGTCGATCTGCTCGAGCTGCTATCGCTGTCGGATGAGGCCATGGCGGCTATTCAATGTGTAGGGCAAACTCGAGGTCGGGACTAAAATGATTTCGCAAGGATGCGCGGCGTTTGGCACACCCGAGATCAACAATATGAATGGAACTGGATAATGGGGTAATGCACAGGATATATATGCAAAGTTCCAGCAAAGTCGATCTCGCAAAATGAATTGGATCGACGTTGAGTGAAGATGCTCAAGTTCAACGATCTTTTTTTTCTGCTCCGCGGGAGCACGGACCACCAGTCAACTTTTTTTGCTTATCGGCTTTGGATCGCATTATCGAGGTCGATTTCCTTTCTAACACAAGCTCAAAGCTCGTGCGCTTGAATTTTATATTATCATGGTGAAGCGAAAGGCTGAAAAACAGCAATCAGCTGGTAAGCCCTCTATCCATGCTCTACGACACCAATTTGAAGCTCACATGTCGTTCCTCTAGGCCCTGTTAGCGCTGTCGCTGCTTTGGCAGCGCGCAGAGCTCGACAACAGCAAGCACAGAGCGCAAATGTACCAAAGGATGCATCACAACCTGTTGTCGAGAGCGAGCCGCCCTCGAAAAAGTCACGGCAGTCTCTCGACGGACCTGGGGCGACTGAGACCAATGAAGAGCATCGTGGTACACGGACAAAGGCAGCAAAGAAACAAGATGGGCCATTGCCCGCACAGACAACCCCGGAACGCCCAGTAAGAGTAAGCCGGCCTCAAAAATCGGAATTGAAGCCCGAGGTGGAGGATACTTTGAAGCACACCGAAGACAACCAGTCTGGAAAAGACCAAGTCGAGGATGCGGGGGAGATGGACGAGGATGATGTTGCGTCTGTTGTGGGTGATGCCGATGGCTATGAATCGCCCGCAGAAACACCAGCAGAGCTCCAGAATTTCCCTCTGTCCAAGGCTCGGTTGAACAAGAGCAACATAGTCTACAGTGATGAGAGCACACTTTGCATTCGCATCAAGGAACGGACGGTATGGACGAACCCTTCCAGCCATTTGGGGTGGGTGCTGACCTAATTCAGAACCTGGCGTTGTTGGGCCGTTATGATCTTTGGGTCAAAAGAGGTGTTGTCAGTCTGATGGGCGCAAAATTGCATCCGTCCTCACAACTGCATAGGGTTTATGCTCCTTCAACCCACTCTTTGCCAGTCATCAAATGTGTTGCCGGAATTGATGGCGACGCAGAAGTGGAGATCAAGTCCTGCACCAGCGGTATTTCCCGGCTCCGTGACCTCTCACCTTTGTATCAAAGGATCTGGGCTGGCGAGAACACCGCTGCAGATAAAATCACCCTAAAAGGGGCCGCAAAAGACTCGAAGCGGACTTTTTCAGTGGTATGTTACCATACCCTACACCGGCTCGAGATGTGTTCAAAGCTAATTGACTTGACAGTTGTATACATCGGCCGATGATTCCTTAAATAGACATATCCGACCACTTCACCTTGACAAGAAATGGAGTGCATCAATGAAATCTCTCTCACAACGTGAAGGACAACTTCGGGTTCTAATATGTGGCCCCAAGTCATCCGGAAAGTCTACCTTTAGTCGTTATTTGTTGAATCACGTTCTCAGTCCAACACCCGAGACAGAGAATGGATATACTAATACCGATGGAGTTGCTTTCCTGGATCTAGACCCAGGCCAGCCCGAGTTTGCCCCTATGGGTCAAGTTTATCTTGCACGCTTGCGTTCTCCATTCTTCGGTCCGCCTTTCACCCACCCATCATTGGATGATTCCCGTGACGGTGAAATAGTGCGGGCGCATCATATCGGCGCAACATCGCCAAAAGAAGACCCTGATCATTATGCACTGGCGGTCATGGATCTTATGGATCAATACCGCTCGTTACTAGAGAACCATCCCCAATGCCCTCTGATCATCAATTACCCTGGTTGGATCTTTGGGCAAGGGTTGGAGGTTGCAACTTGGCTGGTCAGATCTCTCGGTCTCTCTGATGTGGTATATATGAGTGAAAAGGGCCCATCAGAAGTTGTGGATCCGTTAGATCTGGCTGCCCGTGAGGCTCGAGTCCCCTTGACAATCCTCCCCTCCCAGCCCACTGATTTTGTGAGCCGATCAAGCGCTCAATTGCGAGCGATGCAAATCCAGTCATACTTCCATATGTCTCATCCAAATGATCTCAGCACTTCCCTTTGGTCAGATGTACCGCTATCTCGCACGAGGCCTATTACTGTGGACTATGCTGGCGCACGCCAAGGTATCCTGGGCCTCATGGTAATGGGATCCCAGATCAACCCCGATTTACTGCACGAAACGCTTGAAGGCTCTATCGTAGGAGTCGTGGCAGTGGAATCGCCGAAAGCTATCATGAATGGGATGGCAACATCAGAGCCCCCGAATAACGAAGACCATGAAGACATTGACATGGATTCAGCAAACCCAGGCGCAGGTAATCCAGCTGATATTTCCATCGCTGACAGCGTTGTACGAACATCCGAAGACCTTCCTTACCTCTTTGTTGGTTCCGGCAGTTGCACCCCATTGGATCCTAAAGCGTCAAACTGTCTTGGTCTGGCTTTGGTCCGTTCGATTGATACCACTTCGCGCAAGCTTGAGCTCTCCACTCCTATTCCCTCATCTCACCTAGAAAAAGCCATCGAGCAAGGCCATGGCATTGTACTGGTCCGCGGCCAGCTTGATAACCCGAATTGGGCTATCAGTGAAGAATACTACGCCGCTCGTGCGGCAGAGCGGCGTTACCAGGAATCAACATCTGGGTCGAGGAAAGCTGGAGACTCTGGCATTGAACAGGCACACGAACTCGATCCGGCTGAGCATAATCGGACGCTTGCATTGCTGCGAGAGAGAGTCCGCCGGGCAAGCAATGTGCCTTGGATGACTGTTGTGGAAGATAACAGTCGTCATCAGCGTGAAGCTGCTGCACGACGAGAAAAGTCACTATGGAAGCTGAGAAAGAAGGCATATCCTGGCAGCGAGAGCGAGGCGGACTACTAGCTCCCACCTCTTGAATATATACATTAAGTCAAATGCAACAGCAGTTTGCATGCATAAAAGATCTAAATGCCCGCCTCTAGGAAAGAATATTTTAAGTAGTTTTAGACCGACATGCTCGTGAAACAATAAACAGCTGGCGATTACGTAGAGCAAGCAGACCGAGGTAGACATTGGGTGAATTTTGGATTAACTTTGGGAGAATAATTCGCCCTGGGTTGGTTCCTAGCAGATAGGCTCACCATTAGGCAAAACTTGTATGGTGGTAAATCCTACGAAGAATACAATTGTATTCAGCTTCCGTTCTGAGCCTCATGGATTGTCTCCACTCTCCACAAGGACCCCCCGGAGAGTCTCAAGTACCCGGCAGGAGGCTCAGTTTCAGGTTTTATTCGCGCACGCGATTGGTGTGTTTGAATTAGTCCGACAATCCAAAGCTGCCCTGGGGGTCCCCGGGGCCCTTTGTTTGAGGCTAGGGCCGTCGGGTCCCTGAACTAAAGACCCTAATGCGGCGGTCATCCGAATGTCTTCACTTGTACTAGCATATACAAATGTACCAATGTACTAGTCTGTATATGGAATTACTAGTCTGTATATGGAATTTTACTCTTATATCGCGCCATATAAGATGGGGTGCAATTAACAAATGTAAGGCCAAAAACAAGATAGGGACTTTCAATGTATAATGCTTTTGGTTTGACCTTGGGAGGGAGATTGGCAAGCCAAGATAAAACATAAGCAGGCTTAGAGCTCTTTATCCCAAGACGAGGCACCACCATCTGTCTGATCTCCTTGCTTCTGCCACGACTGGAACATAAGAGTTGCCACGTTCCGGCCCATCAGCGCACTGGTCTCCATTGTCGAGATAAAGCTCTCGATGCCACCTGTGTACCACACACCCGGAGCCAGAAGAGTCTCTTCAAATGTCACTCGCGGATACAAAAGAGGATATGGGTTCCATAGCTTCTCATGGAACCAGCTGATATCACCTATCGAAAGGTCTCCAATGGTTGTATTGCTCCCCACAGTCTCACTCTCCAGCCCCAGAATCTGGGTAATGAATTCAGCTGTGGGCCGCTCTGGCGAGAAGATTTTGTAAACGTAATGTTGCTGTTTATCTTCTTCCGATTTCACTGTTCGGAGTGTACTAATACTCCAGAAGCCGCTGGGCCCAACACCATCTGGGTTGGAACCCAGATCAAGGCCCTCGGGCAGAGTGGTCAGAATAGTCTCAGGCGCTCGAGCATTCGAATCCTTCAGGCCAAAATACTTTGGTGAGATGCGGTGTGGGGATGCAAATAGCGTAACGTGCAGATTCACATATGGAATCTCATCCGGGGTGTACTCCAGGGGAGGGGAGACGGAAATACCTGAGTACTGCAAAGGACCGGCAATGACAACTTCATCGAATATTTCATGCTCTGAGTCGGTAGCGGTGTTCAGCTTTGAGGAGACCCTCACAGTCCCATCATCATTGCGCGAAATCTTAGTGGCAGTGGTATTCACTTTGATATTCGCTCCGGAGGCTCTCAGCGCACCATCGAAAATGAGCCAATTTCCGCCCTCGATAGAAACCGCTCCATCCGTAGCCATACAGACGATAGATTCCAAGCCATGGATCAGCCGTAGATTCTGCCCATAGTTCACTCGAGTACTTGCTTGAATAATCTCCCTTGCAAACAACGAGTCGATGCTATTTGTCTGGAGAAACACATCGCCCGGAGACACAGTAGCATTGATCAAGTCAGCCGCAACAGCCGCTTCAGTAAGAGAGCTGAAAGGGAATAAGGGCTCTTCATAAAGGCGAAGAAACCTGCCAACAACACTCTTCATCAGATTCTGGGTACGCAGTGGCGCCAGTCCGTACCGCCAGAAGAGCCGGCCGATATTCCACCAGCTATACGAATTCTTCAACGTGAAAACAAACTGGCTCCCATCCCAGATTCCGATGCTCTCCTCGGCCTCCTTGGGTCGTGCATAGTCAGCACTACTGACCGTCAGACCAAGGTCACGGGAAGCGTTGACCAGGTTGTAATTGACCTGGACAAAGATGGAAGCGCCCAGTTCAATAGGGTACGCTGGGTCGTTGAATACATTGACTGTTGTTGAGCGGCCGCCGATATATGATTCACGCTCATAGACTGTGATATCGACAGGTATGTTGCCTTCATCTGCGAGCTTGCGCAGTTGATACGCAGCAAACGAGCCTCCGGCTCCCGCGCCTATGAGGAATATCAGCCCCGTATGGAACTGTGTTCTTTAGAGAGATGCATACCGATTATTGCCACCCGCTTGGGGGCAGTACTAGCGGATCCTCGCAGTTGCTCTTGTTCTGCTGCATTGCCAAACGAGACGAGTAAGATGGCTAGGATGGAGTATAGGAAGAAAGGGAGATGCCGCGGCATAGACGCCCGCATGGTTATGACTGTACTAGAAGATGACAGAGCTAATTGGTAGTTTAATAGCAAATCCTGATTAACCAGAGTTTAATGTAGATTAAATCGACACCCATGGATGGAGTTGAAGTGTCAAAGGGAGGTGATGCGATGAGCCCTTGTAACTTGGACTTGGTAATCAATACCACGCTAGTCTTATTTAGGACTGGCGCATTTCCATATCGCTTATCTTTTTTGAGGGGCATCACAGATTTGATTCACTTAACTCCGAATCAATTCAAAATGGATCCCTATGACAGTGACTCGAGTCTCGATGAAGATTTCACTGATACCGGTGTGCTTCTAGGCTATGCCGCTGAGGATGTTATTGAGGATGTAATCAGCCATCTTGGAGGCTGGCCGGTATGTTCTATTCCTGCGAAGAATCACTCGATAATTAACTCCAACTAACAACTTTTTTGTTTAGAAATGGCTCGATGAAGCCTCCCCGGCACCTGGCGATTTCGCCAATTGCAAAGTCTGCAACAGCCCCATGCTCCTCCTCCTCGAATTGCATGGCGACCTGCCCGATCACTTCCCCACCGACGAACGACGCCTATACCTATTTGGCTGCCCCAGAAAACCCTGCAACCGCAAGCCAGGCAGTATCAGAGCATTCCGCGCAGCGCGCAAGGTTGCCGTCGGTGGACAAAACAAACAGGTTGAAGCGAAAACGGAGGAAACCCAGCCTGTCGCACCAGAACAACCCAAGCAGGACCTGGGAGCGAGCCTGTTCGGCGCAACAAACCTGACAAGCAACATCTCCTCGAACCAGAATCCCTTCTCCTCCGCTTCGGGCCCAACGCCCGCAGGAAGCAACCCCTTCGCAACACCGGTCCAGGCAACAGCACCTACAGCTGAGAAGCCCGCCGTATCTGCAAGCACCCTTGCCTCATCTTTCGCCGACAAAGTGCGCATCTCCTCGCCGGCCCCTTCAGCCGCGACAAAGAAAACACCTGAATCAAGCACACCGGTGCCGTGGCCCGCGCAGTCCGCATTCCCTGCACCATACAAGAATTTCTACCTAGACGCAGAATACGAGACTCTCTCGCGGCCGTCTTCACCCGAAGTGCCAGATAATGTGCAGATCGAGCCAATGGAGGAAGAAGGCGCTGGCGGCGCCGAGCTCAAGGATACTTTCGAATCCGAGCTCGACAAGGACTTTATGAAGTTCTCGATGCGTCTCGAGCACAACCCGGAGCAGGTGCTGCGGTATGAGTTCCGCGGTACACCACTTCTGTACTCGACTAGTGATGAAGTCGGTGCCCGACTGCATTCTCACAATGCTTCTAATGCCAAGGTCACCACACTCGGTGCGGGAAGTATCCCGCCTTGTGAGTACTGTGGAAGTCAGCGTGTGTTCGAGTTCCAGATTGTTCCGCATGCTATTACTATGCTTGAAGAGGGACGTCCTGGTGTTGGACTTGGCAAGGATGATGCGGGCATGGAGTGGGGCACTATCATCATGGGGGTTTGTGGTAACAACTGTACGCCGCAGGAGTTGGGCGTTACTGGGTGGCGGGAGGAATGGGCTGGTGTGCAGTGGGAGGAGTTGAGATAGGTGTAGACATTTTGCATTAGATGAGAGTATCTTGCCTACCCTAGCTTGTACATAGCAATGTTACTAGGAAAGTCAAGCATTTTCTAGCTATATAAATATTTTTGGTCTGCATTAGCATTTTGGATATATTGCGATATATTGCCGAGGTATACTAGTGACTTTTATTATCACATTTAATACAGATAATTGTTTCACGAGTCAAACTACCCTAAGTCTGTTGAAACCGGGTTCGCGCGATGACAACTGAAAGCCCGTATCTATTTAGCTAAGTAAGTAGGTAGGGGCCATTCTTTCTGAGAAGGATTGACCTATATTGCCCTCAAATGCGCACATCATCTTGTCTTTCCTTGGGATGTCCTAGACTGCTATAGGTTTGTTTCACCTTGCAGCCTTAGACATAATCCAGCTGGTCTATGTTATGGACGTGTGTTACACGGAATGTCCTTGATATATAATTGTGGACCGTCTTCAGCCGAAACTATAAACTGATATATGTGCAACCCGGTACAGCTATATATATGGTCAACAACAATGGACAAGATTGTGTAATCTAAATTAATATGCTAAGATGCACGACCTCTGTATAAATAACCACAGTATCGTCTCTTCCCTTGAAGCTCATGCAAACAAGCACCTTCCTAGCCCTAAAATACGGCTCCCAAGCCAGAAGCACGACATCCTCCAACAAACCAAAACCAAAGGGAAACATAGTGATCACCTCATAGTGCGCAACCCTAGATGGGGGAATTTACAGATATGGCATACACGGCAGCGAAGAACGGTTGCAAAGGTCTCGTGCGAAGCGGTGTTGTTCAACTATCCTCTAGCAATATCCGCGTGAATGCTGTTGCGCCCGGTACTTCCACTACAGGCATATTGCTACTTTTAGACTTGCTGAAGAAGGTGTGGAATATCACCTCGAAAAGACCGCTGAGGAGATTCCGAATGAGTCGGATCTCATCTATCAGCGCTTTGGACTAGGTGGGGATCAGAGTATTATAACCGCAGTGCTGCACTGGGGGAAGTTGCTGTTTTCCTAGCTTTGGATCTGGCAGTGGTGATTAACGGCCAGGTTATTGTTGCCGACAGTGAAAAGTCGGTTGCGGCGTCTGGAGGTGCTGTGCTTTAACTAGGCCGGTTCTTCCTATTAGTCCATCTATATTGGGATCCAGCTGGGTATACTTTGTGGAAGCTAGATATTTTGAATGATGTTATTTGAGCTTGTATCATTTGTAATAATACCATGTCGTGCTATATCCCCATTGCATCTACATCTGAAGCTGGCTCTGTATAATTTTTGATATTGGCAGCAAAGCCGGCCCTACATGGAGGCCCGGCTGAAGTTATGTTATGATATGGACATGACATCTCTCTCTCTTCCTCATATTATCCAGTGCAAATATTTGCATGGATAAGTAAAAAAAAGAATCCAATACAGACAAGAGAAATGGAAAAAAAGAAAAAAAACGCCAGATGCGCCAGGTCCCGACTCATCTCCGAGCCCCTCCTCCATGCGAAATCTATCGTCTGTTCGTCACTTGATCGGGGGTGGGATTCATGAACTCATGTCATGGATGGAAATCAAATTTTCCCTCGCACAGCTTTTTGAAGATTTTAAAAAAAGGTGATACGAAAAAGAGGAAAGAAGTGAAACATTTTCGAATCGACGCAGAAAAAAAATCAAGAATAAAGAGAGAGCTTCCGCAGTAAGCGCTTATGCGGGCAATTCAAAGCCACGACGGATGACACGACCGAACTGCTCGATGCCGACGTGCTCGCTCTTGACCTCGGAGCGGGCCTCGTTCTCCTTGTTGGTAGGCACGCGGATGACGGCGCCATCAACCTTCCAGCCACAGACATCGACGACGAACTTGTCGAGTGCGTCACGGCTGCGGACATCGAGCCAGGACTCGAGGTTCTCGGCGGTGATGGAGCGGAAGGTGTTGCCGACCTCGACGGCGATGCGGATGCGGACGAGCTCCTCGAAGCCAGCCACGTCGGCGGTCAGGTCTGCGTACAGATCATCCGAGTTCAGGGTGGACCAGAACTGGGCGTACTGGGCGGACTCGAGAAGAGTGGACAGGCGGGTGAGCTTCTGCACGGACTCGACGAAATCGGAGGTCTGCGAGGCGGTTTGGGCCTCGGTGGTGGTGGGGAAGGGCTGGGTGTTTGTTGGGAGCAGGGCGAGGCAGAGCGAGAAGGCGGGCGAGGGGAACACAGTCAGGGCCTTGGCCAGGATGTTGGTCACGGTATCGGGTTGGATAAGGTGGGGGTTGAACTGGAAGCTGGGTTTTTTGAAGAGGGTTGTTGTCAGCTTGGATTCGAGGATGTTACGATGATTTAAGGTGTTTGTGAGAAGGATGTCATGCTGTTGATTTCAACCAATGCATGGGTTCTTTCCGTTCAGTATCTTCACAGAATTTCAACATGCCCAAGTGTATTATGGGGATGTCAGGTAATAGGAAACGCTTAAAAGATACTCATCATAGTAGAGCTTCTCAAATATGATTTTCGCAATGCAATCCATGAAAAAAGGGGTTCTAACTCACAGCTTCAGCAGGGCCAAGTTGGCGTAGCAGTCGAATGTCCGGTCCTCGCACTGCTGGGAGACATAGTCCTGGAAGACGGTGGTGGTCTCGGGGTTGTACCGGTCGAGGCCATTGAGGATGGCCTCAATATGGGCCGGCCGGGTCTCACACTTATCGAAGGCGACCATTTTGATATTGCTGGAGGAAGGTGGGAGGTGATGCGGGTCTTTTGTCTCTGCTGTTCTTTTTGGTGGGATTTTCCAAGGTTTGATTGTGGCCGTGGTCGGATTAACCTAAAAGGGTACTTTTACCCGTAATTTTTCCGGACTATAATACAAATGGGCATACAATCACACTTGAGTCTCCGAAAAAATGGCCAATGGCCGTGGATTCATTCGTGTTCAAATAATACATAGAATACATATCTCTTGAATGTCTCATGCGATCGTGCCATCTCAATCATAACCTAGCACTAGTCCCCAAGAGCGGAAACCCGCTAAACAGATGTGCTTGAATCGTTGAACTCTGTGAAGATCGAACGAGATACCCAAGAGAAGAAGCATATCACTTCAAGAAAAAAACTGAAACTGAAACTGAAACCAAGGCTGGTAAAACAAGAAACTCCGTTCCGTGTTTATCAGACGCCATTGTCTATGCCCATGCCCATATCGCAAAAAAAAAACAAAAAAAAGCCGAATCCGTATGCCAAATGAGCAATGCAGAAATCGGTCGAAACACCTTGCCAGCCCGGATAAAAACGCAAGAAAAAAGCACCAAAAAACAAGAGAATAAAACAAGGTCAAAGTTGAAGGTGCCTGAAAAAAAAGAACAAAGCAGGCGGGTATCTCAATAAGAGGTTCATGCAAATGATGAAAAGAATATTTCAAGCCATCACGGGCCGGCGAGGCGCAATAGGAATCGCCTTTGGTCCCGCGGAAATTTCAAGGTTCGACATGTCGATGTCATTACCATCATACTTCTGGTCATCCTTAGGCTGTCTTGCCTTGGAGACTAGAACTGGCTGAGAAGGACTGGCACTTTCTTCGTCGCCGACAGTGCTGCAGACAAAACGTTCCTCATTGAGAGGAATTCCGCCAAACATCGAGCCAAGCTGTTGCAGAAGTGCGACGAAATGAGCATGTAATTCGGTAAAGATGTATTCATTGCCGACGATTTCGGCCAAATTACGGGCACGAATCTGACCAGCTGCACGGCGGCCTGCCGGGTCCATACCCCGGCCGGTGAGGAAGGATGAAACGGGAGGGTACTGACGGCCAGGCTGTCTTCCCGGGTTGTTCTGCTCGTCGCGAGTCTTCTCGTCTTCCTGGAAGCGTTCAGCAGCGTGAACAATGCTGGTTGCGATGCGACCGAATGCGCGCCAGATGATGGGACATGCGCGGAATGCTCTTCCGGCATCGCGCCCCGCCAATGCGACCAGCGCATAACTGCGTCGCTTGCCGCGGGCCATGGGGTCGGGCAGGCGGAAAATGTAGGCGATTGTGTAACCAGCGACTCCGTCACCGAAGCAGATGGGGCCGGAAGAAAGTCCCCGGGGTAGGAGCTCACAGCTTAGGGTGCGAATAGAGGAGCGTCGGAGGAGTGCATAATCAGCGGGGTTAGGCGGACCGCGCTGAGAGAGGTAGGTGTGAATGTGTGTGTGACATGAAGCATCGGAGGCCACTGAAGCAGAGTGAAGTGAGTCGGGAGGAGAAGCATGGGTGTGATAGTCGGTCTCATCGTCCACCTCTGAATGGTTGTTGCCACATGAGTAAACTAGCTCGCGCGAGCGTAGTACGGGGCTAGTGGAATTGCCTTTGGCGTCCCGACTTCCAGGCGCACCGGGAGGTAGCTGTTTGCTGACATTTTCTGGCAGAGACAAACTGCAACTGGCGCAGGTGTCGCCATTTGCGCCACCTCGATTGGATTTATCTTCGGGTGAGGTCGGATGTCCTTTGAGGAAGTACGGGTGATCTTCAATTCTGGGGGACTTCGGGTCGACGGATTTCTGAGATCGAGACTCGTGATCGAAGCGAGACTCATGGGAAGCTGGAGTACCCTGGGGAGATTCGGGTTCGGAGTGACATTGCGGGCATGAAAAAGGTAGAACCTGTGAGCAAATAATAGAGGTGGGACCATGCACCTCGCAGAAGTGCGTCAAAGAGAGCTGAGAGAGTCAGTTCAAGCTCATCCTAGTATATTGTATACATTATTTACTCACAATGAAATCCATGGTGGACCTGATCAAGCAATAACCAGCATCTTTAGTCCATTGTCCCAAGGCATGCTGTGACTGGATAATGACGAAAGGCTGGTATGCGGGTCCACACAGTGACCAGGTTCCAGGGAAAAGAAGGTTAAAAACAAAAAAAGAGTAAAAGGAAATGAAGGGTAAAGAGGTGAGAGAGATATTAAAAGAGAGAGAGAAAGGTAGAGTAGTGGAGTTTGTAATGTGATAAATAAGAAGACAAGCAATAATAATCGAAGGGGCTAAGGCCCTGGCCTCTCTGGGGGGGTTTCGGTGGAAGACCGGGAGTTACACTCTCTACACTCTCTCTTCTCTCAAATGGAAGGTCGATGGAAGAATAGAACTTCTCCACTGGGGAATCCACTTCTCTTAACTCTGCTCTTTTATTTTTCTTCTTTTAATTACCTTTATAACTCTATAACTCTTTTTATCATTTATCATTTATCATTGTTTCTTTTTCTTTTGCTTTTGTTTAAAATGTAATCTATCGTCTCATCGTACTTTCTACACCTTTACCTATATAGTTACACCACCCTTCCGGATGCCTTCCGATCACATTCTTTCATGCTCTTCTCCTGGATTGCTGCATGTGAAAGTCATTCTAAAATCGGGCCGACCATTAATATTCATGGGTTTCCGTGCTTTGCCTAGCGTCTTGACCCGAGGGGCCGTTCTCGTCTGTCTTTGGACCGTTGCGTACAAGTGGATAAGGTGGCTGCAAACAAGGGCTCCATTGTGGGAAAATTTGTGGTACCAATGATCGTGCAGATAATTCGATAATAGTATTAATTCCATCTATGATCTTGATCTTGATACGTACATGGGATCCATATGGATTCAATTTGAAGGTATTATGATCTATCAAATATTAGACAAATCGTCAGGGATTCACCGGTCCCACTTTAGGCATGTCCTTTTTTTTTTTTTTTTTGCTTTTTATATTTTTTTCTTTTTCTTTTGATGTCACTCGAAAATCAGCATGTGTCAGATCAGTCGACAGCCGTCTCTATTCCAGCCATCAGCCCGGTGGATTTCCTCGGGGAGTAATCTGGAGATAACTCCGTGTTAGGGGGGACCGGTAAGGAGGTGAAGGGAAGAATTCCCTGTCCTCCGATTTGCTGAACCCCAGATATTACCTAGGTAGATGTATATAGATTTCTTAGGAGTTCGGGTATACAACATACTCCCTCGCTTCTGGACGATCTTGGGACCCAAAGATGTTCATCTTTCCCCAAGTGGGACACCAAACAGCTCCGTGGGAAAAGTGGGAATCGGGGGAAATATTCCCAGGTTAGCGTGTCCAACAGGGATCTAAACTCTATGGGATTTCCCGACAAGCCTCCGGGAGTCGTGGGATCATACTTGATGTTCCTCTTTACTTTTCGCCGGTACGTTCTCGTTTTTAGTTTTTTGAATGATATAATTAAATAAGATATACTTTGAACTGGAAACTTATACTTCAAATGATCCAAGAATCTCCAATATATATCCCCCTTCACCCGGATGAGGATCATCTTCGGAGTTATTTTCCAGAGTTAACTTCCATTTAAATCAGCCTTTCATCCGTCCCGTCCAGATGACAAACGGATGCGGCTAATATACCACCTCCGATCCTACTCCGAGGATATACAGGCTATATTTCCAAAAAGATGAAACAGACCTTAACACTCCGAAATAGCAGTTGCCCCGGCATTGAGCCGGGATTCCAAAATCCTAGATCCTTGCCGATATAGCCAGGCCAGGTGACCTCCGTCCGGAGGTATACAAAGTACTTTACAATCAGGCAGCCTTCTACCACTAGTTGTACACTAAGTACACTAGTGTACCCTGTGTAGCAGCCTTCAAAGTCCTGTCATCTACTTTCATAATATATACCCCGTCTCAGTATTCCTTCAATGTTATTCTCACCCTATCACGCCGAGGATATAGTTGATTTTCGATCCAATTTAAAATTGGCAGTGAGGGATTTAACATAATATTTACTAAAAAAAAAAAAAAAAGAAAGAAAGAAAAAAGAGCGGCAAACCCACTAAACCACTTGAATCCACTAAACACGAGCGGATCCCTGATTATTTTCGCCAAATAGGCACACGACACTTTAACGGTTCCCGAGGTCGGCCTTCTGATGGATTGCCGGTTTCTCAATACGGAGTATTGAATTCCGTCCATAGGTCCACTTTACCTAATAAATCTTGGAAGTTACATATGAATTTACTAGACTCACGTTAAAACACTATTCATTAAAACACTATTCAGTGTTCCACAATGTTCTACACGTGAGACAATATAGATTATATGGGGGTTAGACCCGGGGCTTTAGACGGAGTATACGGAGTATGCGGAGTACTATATTGGAGTATATTGGAGTTGCAATTTATTACCCAAATCTGATTATTTCGGGAAGGTGGTTTATGTACGTAAACGCCAATGTGGTTCTCGTGCAGAAAGTGGATCGGCTATTGAGACATCCTTATATTGTCCCCGAGGCCAGGAACAATCGGTAAGCTAAACCTGGGACACTTGGGCCGATCCAAGACATGGGCGATCTAGCCAATTTCGCCACGTGGAATTCCCAAAGTACTAGATTGCTGATCAGCGGTTTTATATGCAACCTTACTATGTACCTACAACCTACAACCTAGTTACAACCTACAACATTATACGGATACGGAGTACAACATTCCATATGATTGGAGTCTATGACTGCATAGTCTTAATTGAGGCGAGGTCACAAGATCAAGTCAGTCGGGCACTCGCTTCGACAGTCCGTTGCTCCATCGGACAATTAATCGCTAATATATATGGGTACTCGCCTCTGGCTGTTGCCACCCTGCGGGTATGCTAGTCTACGTGGCGTATCGGGTTGATTATGTATCATGTATGCGTGTTGTGCAGCTGTATGCCTTGATGATGGATTGCCCCTACTAACTAGCCCCACTAGCA